TTCACAGCCCTTAGTAAGTCATAAATAGTTTGTAAAGAGTCCAACAGTAGTCTGCCAAAGACTTTCGGGATAAGGCTGATAAGCACTCACTTTTATCTCCCTTGAAATGCTGCCAAAGACCTAATTGGCAATTAGCTTGCAAGGCCACACGGAACAAAGAGTGAAAAAGGAGCTTCAGAATTTAAAACGACCAGAACAAACAAAGTTGCTTCCTGCAAAGGCTCACGGGCCTTTGCTCCTCCTTTATGTCCTATGGGAGGGGCCAATCACCTCTAAGCCTTACTTCTGAGTCATTCCTTTTGTCTTAACTGTTCTTGCCTGCTGGCAGCTCTGTGCATGTGTGTACTGGGAACAGGCTCCTCCTGTTCCTCTGCCTCGCTGATGTCCGACTCTGGAGGCTCTGGAGAGAGCACATAACTCCCAGATGGCCCTGGTCCTCACTCTGGCTCTGACACAGAGCCCTCATCCGAGCCTTTCCCAGACTCCAGGACTGGCCCATGTTCCTCCCCAACCTCCTCGCTGTCCGAGTCTGCAGCCAGCTCTGCAGGCTGCTGGCGGACCACAACACTTTTATACCGCTTCACAATGGATTATAGCACTCTCTAAGCAATTTGCAGAGTCAGATATTTCCCCCAACAACCCGGACTTCATTTTACTGACCTCGAAAGGATGGAAGGCTTGAGCTGGTCAGGATTGAATTCCTGGCAGTCAGCAGAATTAGCCTGCAATACTGCATTCTAATCACTGCACCCCCATGACTTTTCCTTATCATAAAGAAATCATCTTGATCATTTTCAGTATGTAACCCAGCCATCCAGGCATTGTAACCTCTCAGTTCTTCTCACAAAATAATAATGAAGTGTTACAACGTGTCCTGCTCGGTGGATCAGCTAGTCATCTTTGACTGATTTTGCAAACCCAAGCAGGGTTTGACCTGATTGGGACTTAGATGGGAAAACACTAGAGAGCGACGTTAGGAAGTATTCTGGGAGAGGAAAACTAGGAATGTATCCATGAAGTCCTGAAGAGTCAAACTTGATTCGGGGGAGGCCATTATAATATTCCTCATTGAAAGAGATGGAACAATATCCTATCTCTTAGTGACTACTTTTACTTCAACTGCAATAACACAAGGGCTATCAATAGATACAAACTAAATGTAATCCGCTCTAATCTTGATTGCAGGAAAAATGACTTCAGCAATAGAGTAGTAAATGTCTGGAACACTCTACCTGATCCCGTTGTTAGTTCCTCTAACCCACAAAACCTTTTACCTGAAACTGTCTTCTGTGGACCTTACACATTTCTTAAAAGGTCCTTAAGGGGGGCCGTGCATAAGTGCACCAGCCTGCCTACCGTCTCTGTCCTACTGTCCCCATTTACGTATGTTTATGTACTCATGTTATGTATCTATGGCTATGTTTCGCTTATTTATATCCATTTATTTGTGCCATATTTTCATGTGTCCATGTCTATGTCTATACAGATACTTGTTTCCTTGTACTTGTTGTCATAAATAAATAAATAAATAAATAAATAAATAAATAAATAAATAAATAAATAAATAAAATGTACATTTCCAGAAGACCTGAGAGTGGAAGTACTCTTGCTCCCTTATTTAACCTGTAAAGATGACTTTGTCAGGGTTCTTTTCTTGGTTAGCTTTGCCATGAAAGGCCACAATATGTTTGCTTTTAGTAGAGAAGGTGGTGTTTCTTTTTTTTAAACCTTCCTATGCCTTTAAAGAAAAAAAGGTATGATCCTAATTAAANCTTCCCTTTTTGAGCTGTGAGCCGCCCTGAGTCCCCTTAGGGAAAAGGGCGGCATACAAATGAAATAAACTCAAACTCAACTCAAACTTAAATAATTCATATGTCCATTATGAAAGTGAGTATTAGGACCTTATTCTCCTCCCAATCAAAAGCTAAGAATATTATTTTCCTCCGCTTCAAAACAAGTCATTTGTGTGATTCATATAAAACGTTAATAAGAATTAGAGGCCTTGCACTTAAGTCTAAGTGCTTGCTAAGAACTTTACCTACTGTTGCTTTAGAGCTGATTTTGAGCCTTTCATTATTATGTTATTTGTAAAGCTTGGATTTGGAATCTTTTGTTTTTTTCTGAAACACAACTGCCTGGACACAACTGTATTGGCACAAAGATCTCTGTCCTGTAAACGACAGGGAGTGATTCAGTCCACCTGGTAATCTGTCATATAATAAATATTTGCTGTAGGAAACAGTGAAATGAATTTAGAATGAATGTCTTAAGTTGTAAAATGTTAAGAAAAAAACATGCTCATTTAGGGAATGGGCACAAAAGGAAGAAGAAGGGAGGATGTGGGGATTCCAGGTTTGACAAGATAATTCATAGCAACTTGGCAATGCAGAAAGTTGTATCAAGGACTTTTCTTTTTCTCCAGAAAATCTGGTTCATCCCTCAGCTCCGACTGGAACTTGGAACCCAAATGCACAGCTGATGGAGCACCCTGATTTCTCTTCCACCACATTGCGCATCCTTGCCAATATGCCGAGCCGGACTATTGGTGAGTTGTGATGCTCCCCTGTAGCCCCGGTCTACTTCTTTTGATGAAGAAGAATTTCAGGATAGGGCATGGGAAATGTGGGGATTAGCACAGAGGACGATCCTTTTCTCCCCTCTGTAGTGACGGTCTTCCCTTTCATTTGCAGGGCGCAGCAGAGGAGCCATACTGTCCCAGTATTGCAACCGCACTGCCAGACGACGGCGTCGGAGCAGCCGTGCCCCTCTCCAGGAAGTATCCCGTTCTGCACGGCCTAGTTTTCGACAGCTGTCTCTAGAGTTGGATTCCAGCTACAGAGAAGAAGACCGTAAGTTGACTAAAAGAGGAGGAAGATGCCTGTTAAGCAGAAAAGTAGTGCAAGAAAAATAGATGGTGTATATTTAACTTATCGTGCAGTTATTATGAGTAGCAATAGCAATAGCACTTAGACTTATTGTTCTGACCTAGGCCTCCTGATACAGTAAAAAGCACACGCTTAGTCCAAAAAATCCTTTTTATTTCAACGGCTATGAATTATGTTCACAGCCCTTAGTAAGTCATAAATAGTTTGTAAAGAGTCCAACAGTAGTCTGCCAAAG